CTCTCTCTCTCTCTCTCTCTCTCTATACACACATACACACACACACACACACACATATATATAGAAGTTAATTTCACCCATAATCTGTAATGAATATCAACCCTTCTAAATATACCGCAGTTATACTGTACATGATAGCTCTAATGCTTAAACCAATCTTTTTTAAAGTGCCTTGAAAAGTTTGAATACAGTAGTTTCTTTACTAAAAGACCTATTCCAATTTATAATTTAATATTTTAAAAAGATCTCTCTAATTATAAAGATCCATTCTGGTCTCTTAGGTTTTACATAATATTATTTTTTACACTATCTAATTATGTATTTATCTGAGAGACCAGAATGACTCTGAAGCATTCGTTTCAATCTCTCAGGTCTGTGAAATGCATCTTAAAAATCCCTGCCTTGTTATAGTATTTACCGAAGAGACAGAATGATATTCTTTACATATCCATCACTGAAGTATTTTTCTTTTCTGCAAAAATCTCCTAAGTAAATTAAACACAAAAAACCTATATGATAAAGTAATATTACACTGTTAACACAAAATGAACCCAGGGCCTGAAAATTCAATGTTAGTGCTTACTTTTCTATCTGTGTTTAACTCAGAAAGATATATTCATATACAAGGAATAAAGGGAGATGGGGCATGGTTGTTATTAGTATCAGTTTCCGATGTTTATACAACTCACAAGCGGCACAGTTTACTTGCAATTTTGCCACTTGTGATCTAGCCAGGTAATCCCAAAGACAGAAGTGGAACTGCTCAGAGTAATAAACACTGCACCCAGTAGTGTTTCCAGGATCAGGCCTTGTGTTTGTACATACAAATAAGTGGCTCTGATCTTTTTCATGGCACAGCAGCGGTCTACACACAAAGCAGTGGTAACTAAAATAAGCACAGATTTCATTGCATAATTTTGTTCTTGTACTAAGAACTCCTACAGCCGCATATCACATCCTTGTGACTGCATGGAGTGCCATTTGTCAACCAGCCAGGGTTATAACTAATCAGTTCCACATGGCCAGGAAAGACTCAATGTAACCACTGAAGACTGCCCCAGCTGACAGCTCTGAAAAAAGACCTGTCAGCTAGGAGAAGGATTGTGTCTAATGGAATGAAGATCCTCAATTGCATCTGGAGCAGGAGGAGGGAGGAGGACACAGACACCCCACAGGATTCCACAAACACGCCCAACCAAGGTATTTTTTGTGTGTGGTAGGGGAAGAATAGTAAAACATAGGGATCCAATCTAACCTCTTTTTCCCACCCTGGCTTTCCTGGGTGGGTTGCTGTAGTTCAGGGGTTCTCAAACTGGGGGTCAGGACCCCTCAGGGGGTCATGAGGTTATTACCTGGGGGTTGCGAGCTGTCAGTCTCCACCCCAAACCCCGCTTTGCCTCCAACATTTATAATGGTGTTAAATATATTTAAAAGTGTTTTTAATTTATAAGGGGGGGATCACACTCAGAGGCATGCTGTGCGAAAGGGGTCACCAGTACAGAAGTTTGAGAACCACCGCTGTTGTTCCAGGACAGGAATAATCTCCACTGAGCATGCACCAGGGAATAAGGTGACCAGGACCCACAAGGGGTTCACCTGGCTGCCTATATAAGCTACCTGCCTCCTCGAGTGGCACACAGCTAGCTCAGATTCGCTTGAGCCTCATTCTAAACCCTGCCACACCACTCTCACGACTGTTTGCATTGGTGCAAGGCTAGTGATTAATGCTAAGTCAACAAAATAGGGGGAAAGGACACCTATTAAAATGAATAGCAAAGATAAAATGTAATCTAAAGGATACAGGTGATGGCTTTAAAATCTTCATAGATGCTAGAGAGACCTGGGCACTTATTGTACCTAGACTTTGCAGAATTCAGTTTATTTCTATATATTTTTGATGGATAATATACATATTTATGTTTAAGCATTTTTTTAGGTTTTTATCTATTTAAATATTCCCAGTAGCAGGAAATTATGTGGGTGTGTGGTGCAGTTTACAGACTGCCCACACAAACGTTAAAGGAGTGGTGGAGCAATATTGGGCCAAAACAATCCCACCTCTCAACAGCTGCTGGACATGATCCCTGTGGAGGGCCTATTTAAAAAGAAGCTCTGGCAGTCAGGTGGGAGGATAGTGAAGGAGAGACTGGCTGCAGAAAGGTAGACAGGTGGTAGCTGCTGAGGCAGAGCGATCTACAGGGGAAGGACTAGGACTATGAATAAGACTTAGCTAGGATGCCAGGGACCTGCCCCTTCCCCCACCCCCTTTCTGCCCACTTCTCCCTGACTAGGGGAAACAATTGGTCTCCTCGTGAGCTCCCCCACAGCCACCTGAGATGGTGCAAGCAGAAAGCTGGGTCCACACCCCGAACTGAAGGTAGGAAGCAGCCTACGGGGCTGATCTGATCTGGAGTGGCAGCCAGAATAGACTGAGCCACCCCTTGCCTCTCCCCACTAGGGCCCTGGGTGGAGACCTGGTGGAGAGAGAGAGAGGGGGCCTGGGTCCCCCACCCATCCCTCCTCCCCCAGCCACCTGAGAGATCCTGGAGAACTTGGGGGTGATGGTAGGGAAGCTAATGGTCCCATATTACAAGGCATGCTCCTTATTTAAATAGAAAATAGCCCGTCCCACACTAAATCCATATGGAAAGCCTTTTTATCCTGTATTTCAACAGCAGGGAGTCAGTACTCATGAGGTGCATCTTTCCCGATCCTGGCCCTTCAGTGTTTTCAGTGCAGGGAAAAAGACTGGGGTCATGTTCAAGGGCCAGGGCCGGGAGGGGAGTGGAAAGATGCAACCATGAGTACTGGCCCCCTGTTGGACAGTGCCCCCTGCTGACTCCAGCCCTGGAGTGCAGCTTTGTCTCCTTTCCCTGCACAGGCTCGGTCTCGCAGGGTAAGTAGATGGGTTTATGATGGGTTGCCCCCCCTTTAAGGTGTCACCTGATGTACTGGGATACCACTGAGCCCACCTGGAAACTGCAGTTTAAGATGATGCTGTTTGGCCTAGATGGCACAGCAGCCAGCTTCCAACGGCTGATGAACAAGGTGCTTCGGCCTTACAACCGGTATGCAGCTTCATACATCAATGACCTTGTAATCTATAGCAAATGAGCATTTAAATCACGTTGCAGCAGTCTTGCAGACCCTCAGAAGTGCAGTACTTACAGCTAACCCCGCCAAGTGCCACCTAGCTAATGGAGAGGTGATGAACCTGGGTTTTACAGTGCCTAGGAAGCACCTGGGCCTGTTGTCAGGACAGGTCCAAGCTTTAGCAGAATGCCTGGAATTGGCAGGATTTTATAGGCAGTTAAGTCTGAATTTTGCCATGATTGCAGCCCCACTAATGGACCTGGTGAAAGACTCAGCCCCTAAGAAGATCTGGTGGTCTTGGGACTATGTCATGGCCTTCAAGAAACTGAAAGATCAACCCACTAAAGAGCCTGTCCTGTTCCACGAGATTTTTCAAAACTTTTCATCCTGCAGACAGATGCCTCCGATATCAGCCGTAGGGGTCATGTTGTCCCAAGGTGTGGAGGTGGAAATTGTTCCCCTTGGAAGTGGCATACTCAATAATAGAGAAGCAGGCCTTTGCTTCAATGGCCCATTTTGCTGCCCTCTGCTATTACTTGTGGGGACAACCATTCCATCTCATGACAGATTATGCACCCCGTCGTCAGTGGCTGAATGCCATGAAAGACTAACCCACAGATTATGCACAGATACCTCTCGCTGCAGCTGTACAGGTTTGAGGTACGATATCGAGCAGAATGTGACTACAAGAATACAGACTTCTTTTCATGGGACAGAGGAGACCCATATGTGCAGACTGACCCTGCAGCACCCAGCCTGAGAGGCAGGGTGTGTGATGGGGTTTTCAGACCCCAGACTAAGGCTAAAGGAGTGGTGGAGCATTATGGGGCCAAGAAGGCCCCATCTCTCAGCAGCTGCCAGGCATGCTCCCTATGGAGGACATGCTTAAAAGGAAACTCTGGCTGTTGGGTGGGGCGAGCGTGAAGGGAAAACTGGCTGCAGGAAGGCAGAGAGGTGGTAGCTGCTGCAGAAGCAGTGCAATGTACAGGGGAAGAACTGGGATTGTGAATATGACTCAGCCAGGAGGCTGTGGGCCTGAGCTCGCCCTTTACCTTCTTCTCCCCTGACTAGGAGGAACAATTGGATTCAAAGTGAGCTGGGAAGCTCCCCTTCAGCCAGATGAATTACTGAGATGGTGCAAGCAGAAGGAGCCATTTTCCAAATGGAAGGCAAAATAGGGAAGGTAGGAAACATCCTGGAAAGGGCGGGGGGCTGATCTGGAGTGGCCTCCAGAAAGGACCAAGCCACCCCTCACCTCTGGTCCTGGACCAGAAGCTATTGGAGAGGGATCCCCCTACCATTCTCTTTTCCCCCCAGCCACCTGAGAAATCCCAGAGGACTCTGCGGAGGGAAGGGATGGAGGGCACTCCACTGTGACTTGGCCAGCAGGCCCCCTGGACTGCCCAGAAGAGCCCAAGAGACAGTTTGGCCACAGCCTGACCACAAGGCCCGCTGGCCCGTATGGAAGCCAGCTACAGTGGGTCAGACAATATTTAATAAGAATAAATAATTCAAAAAGTTAAAGGTTTAACTTTTAAAATAACAACAACAATCAGCATCCCATCAAAATATACAAAGGAAATATTCTTAAATCAAACTCATTTAGATTATTATTGACGGAAATGTTTTGGTCGGTTTGTGTGTGCTTGGTGAAGAAGATGTTTGCAGACATTTACCAATAAAAATCTAAACCTTCCAAGCCTATTTCCAGCAGAATAAACCAGATAAACGAATGACGTCTCCACTCAACAACTGAGCCAGAGGTATGATTATTAGAATTGTTGAAAGAATAAGACCATTAAATGTATGTATTTGCTGTCCACCAATTAACACGTACAACTCTTCCTAATGAATTATTAATTAAAGACTTCGTACATTGGCATGCCTTGTTAAATAAAGGAATTTCCCAAAGACAGAGGATATACCAACCAATATACTCAGCTGTAACTATCCCATCATGTATTTTGCTTCTTAAAAGGAGCCTGCCATTTCTTACAAAAAGGGAGGGGGAACCCTTTCTCTTGGAGTAATAATATCTGAAAACTGCCATTCATTGCTTTTGTGACTCCTGATGAACTATTAAAACTCAGAATTGAACTGCAATCCTTGAGAGCATTAGACTCTCCACTTTAGCCCCTTAGTGCTAAAGCCATTATCCAGTCCCAGTTTTAGATGCATTTTACATTGTTCTCTATTCACTATGAACTCCTCCCTCTCTTAAAAGGGTAGCTATTAACTCTGAGGGATCTTAGGTTCACTAGACTTGACTATTCTGCCTTAAAGACCAGGGCAGTGGTACAACATTTCAGAATGCTCAGATTTAGTGTTTATCCTAGAGGATTCACAGGCTGTGAGATTATATATTGACACCCACTTATCTAGATTTAAAATACAAGAACATGACTCCTACTGATTTTCTGGATATTGGACACCAGGCAGTTGCCACTTTGAAGGATAAAGGAAGTGCTAAGGGGGTGGTCCAGCCGCCTGATGCCTGCTCTGTGTTATGCTAAAAACCTGTGCACAGTTCTCGGGCTCTCTCTGCTGCCCTGAGCTGGCAAGAGATGGGATTGGAATGCTGTAGCACTGGCAGTTTTGGCCTTGAGAATGGGAGAAGATAAGCCTGGCATTGCTCTGTAGCCCCATTGGCTATCCAAGAACATGGTGACAGGTTCCAAAGGGAACTTCAGCCAATCTTCCATGCCAAAGGGGACAGCTGCAAAAGGAAAAGGGGCTTATTGCAATCAATCAACAGGGACTAAAAAGCAAAGCTGGTAGAGAAACCTCTGTTCCCCCATTTTGCCCCTTTCCAAATCAGCCCTGGGAAGAGGAAGAGTCTCCCACCCTTCTTTGGTACCTCCAGAAGTTTTTCAGTCAAGCGGGAAAGGTTGTATGTGATTGTTGTTTGACAACTTGCTGCTTGACAGAGCTGATAACATGACCATTTACACAGATGCACTTTATATTTACATTCCATTTATAAAAAGTTTATAAAGAGTTAATAACTGACAAAGATCTTTTAATAAATAATCGATTGCTATAAAGTCCAATAGGTTGTCTAGAACTATGATTTTTGCCATCTAGTACCTTCGAGTGAAGTGCTTATCACCATTTATAACATTTGCTTGTGTTATAACAGGCTTATAATAGCTATTGATTGTTTATTAACCCTTTATAAACTATGGATGGAACCCTAATATAAAATGTGACCAATTACACTCTCTTTAATTAATGATGTGATTGAACTGAGTAGTTTCAAAAGGGAACTAATGATCATTTCTCCCTAACCCTTTTTCACTATTGTTACTGCATCCTTTTGGATGGACATTACCATTTTAACCTTTTTTTACCATTCTGGGACCCTGGTCCTTTGCAGGTTTATGGGTTTGTCTGCGATCAGATAAGAACACTTTCCAGGGACACTTTAAATCCTGAAGGATGGGGCTTTGAATGAAACATCATATAGGACGAGACTTGTAATAAAATCGTCAGAGCTGGTAACACTTCTGCAGCATATATCATTTGCCATGTGCAACCACATTATCTATGTAACAACTTAAGCTGCAGTACAAAGCAAGGCACAACAGACACAAATGATTTAAAGATAGTCATTCAGTGCATGCCTACAGAAAGTAGAGCAGGGGACTCAACTATCCATGCCGAGAAACATCATGATGAAAGGTGTGATAGTTACTAAGCATGTTCAGTAGTTTTTCTTGAAGTCATATAGGAAGCCTCCATTATGGGCAAGCCATTCTGCATCTTCTACTGTTCTTCATTCTGAGAGCTGAGCCAAGTCGAGTTCAGAAGGGGCAGGAAATGTTACAAATGTAGGAGTTACTGAGAGTCCTAGTGTACTCAGCTGAAAATGATGATCCAAGACCAGATGTATCAGCTATCAGGGGTAGGTCACAAAATCTGTAACGTTTTGGCTACAGGTGAGTGTTATTCCAGCCCTCAATTATTAGAGAAGCCCTTAGACAAAATGATGTTGTTCCACTGTGGCATATTTCATGGAGTTAGAGAGCTGGGAGGAGAGCTTTTGTTACCCCTACAGGCTACAGGATGTACGGACGTCTAATTTAGCTGTTAACTAATTGCTTTAAACTGAGAATCTGTCTGTGTGATTCCCAACTCGCATAGATGTACCCATGCTAGCTCTACTCCAGCTAGCGTCTAAACATAGTGGAGTGTTTACAGCAGCACAGGCAGTGTCTCAGGCTAGCCACCTGAGTATCTACTCAGGACATTCGGTGAGACTGTACTCGGTAGTGTGGGAGGCCTACTGATATCCAGGGAGTGGATATGCTGATGTCTCGAAACCTGTAACACAGGGGTAGGCAACCTTTCAGAAGTGGTGTGCCGAGTCTTCATTTATTCACTCTAATTTAAGGTTTCACGTGCCAGTAATACATGTTAACGTTTTTAGAAGGTCTCTTTCTATAAGTCTATAGTACATAACTAAACTATTGTTGTATGTAAAGTAAATAAGGTTTTTAAAATGCTTAAGAAGTTTCATTTAAAACTAAATTAAAATGCAGAGCCCCCCGGACCGGTGGCCAGGACCTGGGCAGTGTGAGTGCCACTGAAAATCAGCTCGCATGCCGCCTTCGGCAGGCGTGCCATAGGTTGCCTACCCCTGCTGTAACATTTTGACTACAAGTCAGATTTCCTTTCCGACGCACAAACTGAGGAGAGCAAGGCAACTACTAACAGGACTAAATGCTGCTAGCTAGGAAGATCCACCAACTAGACTTACTATTTGCTGACAAGTCAAAAGTGTTTGGAATTGGACTGACACGGCAGTTTCATTCCATTTCTGAAGAATCCAGGGAACACAAACTACACTTTAGATCTCACTCTCTAGACCAAGAAATCGTCTCTGAAGAAGGTTGGTGGGAAGAACATATTTATGTGGGTGTGAGCAACAGGATGTAGATATATGTTACACTGAACCCCTACACTGTGATGCACATTTTACAAACTGTTTTTATTCAGTGAGCTTGCATTGTATAAGAAGCAGAAGAGACAGTTTGTGAAAGTCTGTGTAGGAAGAGCACTCTGGTAGATCTACTACCCAAATAATCTTTTGAATAAAAAAAGCTATTAAGAGTAAAAAAATGTAGATTTGTGTGTATTAATGTAAACAATGCATATTAAGCAATTGTGTGGTATTATCTTTTTGAAGTTGACTGGGAGCTATTAATATCTAAATTCAGGGTTTTGAATACAATACTTTTGGGGCATGATCCCAGGCAAAGCTTTCTGAAAAGACAGAACTTTAACCTGAGCTACAGCAAAGAATTAAGATGAGGTGCGGAAAGAGGGAGTGGTAGTATTTGTACATATTCCCCCTCTATTTCCACACACCCCCTCTCCCATATTCCCCCCCCCTCCACACACACACACACACACACATCACACAAATACACTCAGCCCTATACACTAGCACAGGAAACATATTCCTTTCTGATGAGGACTATTCATGCACTTTTTTTTTTATTTGACTCTTCTTACTTTTCCAGACCAAAGGTGATTTCCTTTCACTGCAAAGAACAACTGGTATCATTATTTCAAGCACCTCATGATGAAGTTTAAGAGCTCACATCTTACAGTGATGGGTGCCAGGGTAAGAACCTAGATAGATACATACATAAATGTGAAGTTATTACTCTTAGAACACACAAAAGCAGTACTATAATGCTCTTAAGAGGGCATACATCATCAGTGCCATTAACCTAACCTTTGTGAAAATGTACCATTATTAAAATGCATCCCTTGAAAGGATACATGTTCATATCACAAAATCCACTGCTAATAACTCCTGCCATTAACTGGCAACTTTGTTGGCAGTTCTGGTGGAGAGACCAAGGATAGACTGAGTTATCCTCTTAATCCTAGAGGATCAAGGCTGAAGCACTTTGGAGGAGCAGTGTGGGTTACCTTACACTATGACCATTTCTACATTAGTATTTTTAACATGTGTTAGTTAACAGGTTAGCTGGACCAGCTAACAGGTTAAAATTGCAACTTGCCTCACCTGGACAAGGATTTTAACATGTTAGTTAACCTGAGTTTGAGGTGCTCCTTTCTTCTAGTGAAAGACAAAGCCTTTGTCTGCCTGTGCTGCACCGCTATTGTTAAGAAGTCTCCAGAGCTTTCCATCCAGCGCTTTTCACCAAA